CGGATCCACAACACTCAGCGTAGTAGGAAGCGGCGTGGCGACCGCTTAAACCACTACGCCATCCGTGCAGTCACACAAATATCGATGTACATATGTACTTTATATTAATCATGTACCTAAATAAGTGTATTTACGAGTATGCTTTGTGAATTGTAAAGATGATAATTAAAAGCAAATACAGTGAAATTAGTCTCGAGAAATTTTTGCATATGTAGTGGTGTGTATATTACTCAGATCTTAGAGCGCGTTTCCACTATATCGTTCTGGCCTATACAAAAATGTATCGATATCCTAACATTACTATTTAATTTTATACTTATCCCTAGCAACACTCTGATTTTTGTTTTCAATAAAAACAAGTTTTTATTTTAAAGAAAAAGGTTTTGACTTTATAAAAAAAAAGGTGTGTGTGCGATTCAAACACGATAGAAGTGAAACTTCAAAGAGGAGAGACCGATATTTTCCTTTCATCTAGGTTTTTAAAACTCCGGGGGTCTACGGGGGGGTCAAAATTTTTGTTATTTTTGGCCTAGGACCTTGAATCTAAAGCAAAAAATCGTCACTTGATAGTGGAAAGTGGAAACACGCACAAAACCAGAATAAACCAGTTTACGCTGTCCGCACCATACACTACTACAAACGCAAAAAATTCTCCAAGCTAATTTACCTGTATGTAGTAATGTTATGATATAGGAGGCAGTCGCTGGGCGTAAAAAATCGATGTTCAGCCATATCATAGTAGACTTAAAGCGGACCCTAACTTAGTTTGGGAAAATGTTCGAAGGAAGGGAGGTTATTCACATCACACCACAGCCTTTAATAGTCCACTGCTGGACATAGGCCTCTCCTTATAAAGGAGGTTTTGGCCTACTATGCCACGCTGGCCAGACGGGTTGGTATAGGGTTTGTGTCAAGTTTTCCTTCTTTTTGCAGTGCTGGTGTCCTGCGTTGTTTTGCACCCTTAGTCGGCTCTTACGACACCCACTTGATGAATTGGGGTAGTGACTTTGCGTATTCTTAATCCGTCACTACACGGACTCTGGGAGGGACGGGACTGGGAGGTTATTATATGGAGGCAAACAAGCATATGGGTCACTTGACTACCGCCGTCCATAGATACTTTCAACTCAGGAGTGACAACCACTTTGCCGGACTTTGCGAAGGGAATGCGTTCTTTTCTTGGAGGTTTGAAGGTCGTATCGGTCCGGAAATACTGCAGGCGACAACCCCAATAATAAATAACTGTAGGGCCTAGTGGTTTCTGGCCTTAACTGCTAAGCCGGAGGTCGTGGGTTCGATTCCCACCTAGGACAAATATTTGTGTGATGAGCACGTTTATTTCTTGTGTCTGGTTGTACTCTATCTATAATCATCATCATCGACAGCCTTTACTAGTCCACTGCTGGTCATAGGCCTCTCCTTAGAAAGGAGGTTTTGGCCTACTACACCACGCTGTGGTATAGATGTGGTATAGACCAACACGTCTGGCCAGCGTGGTGTAGTAGGCCAAAACTTGACACAAACCCTATAGTTTGTGTCAAGTTTTCCTTCTCTCTGCAGTGCTGTTGTCCTGCGTAGTTTGCTCCCTTAGTCGCTTTTTACGACATCCACGGGCTGAATAGGGGTGGTGACACTCTGTATTCTTAATCCGTCACCACACGGACACTATCTATAATACGTAAGTATTTAGAAATATTTAAGTAGGTATGTTTATCAGCGGTCTGATTACCAGAGCACAGGCACTGTTTGGAATTTGGAATAAAACGGACGTGTGTTAGATAACAAAAAGAAACTGAGGTTACTGAAGCCTTATCCTCTTCCTGATTCTTGGGAGAGGAACTGAAAGGACGGCAACGCATTTATAACCCTTCAGTTGGAATTTTCAATGGATAACGTTATCCACTTATCAGATGGCACGTCCCGCTTGGCCCCATAAACTTTAAAAAATATCTCAAACAGATTCCAAAATGGTTTTCTAATTTCACTTTGTTACGGAACCCAAGAAGGCAACGCGACGATGTAAGGTAAACAGGTTTATGAAGGTCCTATCCCACGGGGCACGTTTACGCGCGCCCGGCCCATAACCGGTGCCCTCGCCCCTCTGTTAATGATGTCGATGTTCGATACATCTGTAATTTTCTATTACTGCGGTCGGGTGATGGACAAACCAGCTAGAGATTTCGAACCAACTAGCGATGTAATTAACCTTTAAAATAGTATGGCCGACTTCAATTTTTCTGTCACAGACTAGATTTTTTTTTAATTTATCGAAAAGACACCGCCCGCATTAGGAATATATATTCCTGTGTCGCGGGCGACTTTACAAACATACATGAAAAGGACACAAAGAACACCCAGACTCAGAACAACAATTTGTGGATCACACAAAGTGTCGTCCCATGTGGGGATCGAATCTATACAAATATTTTACAGCTGAAGGGTTTGTTGTTTGCGTGTGGTTTGGAATTAAGAATACGGAGTGTCACCACCTGTATTTATCCCATGGGTGTTGTAAGAGCCGACTAAGGGAGCAAACTACGCAGGACATTGCAAAAAAAGAGGTAAACTTTAAACAAACCCTATACTAACCCGCCTGGCCTTTTTAGTGAGAGAGCAGTGGTCTACTTAAGGGTTTTGATGATAAAGAGTTTGTTTATTTGATCGCGCTAACCTCAGGAACTACTGGTTCGAATTGAAAAAATAAAATAGACTCCTATCTCAAATATGCTCTTGTGACTCCTTAGTAACAGGCTTCCATGGGAGGTGGTAATCGCTTTCCATTTCCGTCAGCCCATTTACCTTCTATATCATCAACACAATAAAACAGAGGCACACTCGTTAGAGATCCACGTTTCGGCACATATGTACCAGGCTGGACCGGAGGTTTACCACGGCCTCACAGAAAATTGGTGTTTAGCTGTTGTTTTTCATCGAGTGAGTGAGGGTACTGGAGCCTAAACCTTTCCTAACCTCCTGTTTTTTGACTGAAAGCACCTTTGACGCTTGACTTGCCGACGCCGAGCCGACTACGTGCCGAAGATGCCAGGAAGGAAAACTTAACACAAACCCTATACCAACCCGTCTGGCTAGCGTGGTGACTACACCACGCTAGCCAGACGGGTGGACCTACTAAGGTCAAAACCTTGTTTCTAAGGAGAGGCTTATGTCCAGCAGTGGACTATTAAAGCTGCTGATGATGATGATGTCTGCTTCTTGCCCCCCTATATTATAAAAAAGAAAAAAGCCACTTTTACTACCCTTTTTAATAAAAAGAAGTGTTCTTAACTTTATGTTTTTGACTCAAATAAAACTGAATAAGTATCTTCGTTCTTGAGTATTATATAATACATTTACACGTCAAAACTAAGTACCAAAGTCGTAAAGTTTGTTATTTAAGATCACTCAAATATATTGCGGTACATTTCATGTATATATATTTCAAGTATAAGGGCCTTTATAGAGTATAATTGTGCGAGGGAGCGTTTTGGGAGTACATTACGAAGTTTTTTAAGCTTTTAAAGGTTTGTATTAAGCGTTCTTGTTTTATACTTTTGAGCTTTAACTACTCAACCAGTAAGTATGAAAACTAGATCATCATCAACAGCCCTTACTAGTCCACTGCTGGACATAAGCCTCTTCTTAGAAAGGAGGTTTTGGCCTACTATACCACGCTGGCCAGCCGGGTTGGTATAGGGTTTGTTTCAAGTCTTCCTTCTCTTTTAAGTGTTGTCATCAATAGCCTTTATTAGTTCACTGGCTGGCTATAGGCCTCTCCTTAGCAAGGAGGTTTTGGCCTACTATACCACGCTGACCAGACGAGTTGGGTTTGTTTCAAGTTTTCCTTCTCTTTGCAGTGTTGTTGTTCTGCGTAATTTTCTCCCTTAGTCGGCTCTTACGACACCCATGGGTTGAATAGAGGTGGTGACATTCCGTATTCTTAATCCGTCACCACACGGACATGTATTCAAATACTTGCCATTCCCTGCCATTATTCGCTGTAGCAGCTTGTGGTTACAATGTTGGAAAATAAGGGAAAAAATTGACGCGAAAAATAGATAAAAACAACAAAGTCAAAAGTAAAGATTGAAAATAAAACATAGCGTGTACAGAATGCGCAGCTGATAGGCGGTTTCATGATTGAGACTGCAATAGAATAATACCCATTTGTAGTTAACTTAGGTATAATAGTATCCTTAAATTTGCGAGAGGGTAAATTCCTAAAATCAACATAGAGTTTATTTTAAGAGCGTATACGAACCCATGAACGAGTTGCCTACTCTATCAACCCTTCCACTACGTATGTAGCTTATTAAATTTTATTTTTAGCCTGTATTGTCCTATTACAGGGCAAAGGCCTCAAAGGCAACAGTATTTTCGGAAGCGGTCTAAACCTACCACGTTGTGTCGTTTAGCACCTTGTGGGACCAAAGTTGTGCAAAATTTTTGCCCGTAGATCTATGGGTATGCGGCAAGCATGTCTGGCCCAGTCCCAGTAGTATATAGTTTCCTGGGTTTACTTCTACTTTCGAATCTAGATAGATCCGAATCAACGATTGACCATGACACACACACACACACATCAAAATAACCCCTTGTGTGTTCATCAACGCAGGCATGTATGTATGAATGTATGTGTGTATGTTTATGTTTTTTTTTATATTTATAGTATTATATAGTACGTATAAATGATATTTGCATTTATATATGTATCCATCTTGCAACCGACTACAATTTAAATAATTTATCTCATTATACACCTGCCATACACAAATCTCTGCATCACCCCAAGGTTGACTGGAAGAAAATGCCTATGGCATTAAGTCCGCCTTATGCAATGTATTTGCAGGAAGTATAAATACAAAAAAATAATAATTAATAAACACTTAACATGTTGTTATAAAACCTTTTTAAAGAAAACTTTTTGTATCAACCAAAAACTCTTTGATACATGAAAACCATTACGGACGAGTAAAAAAATCAAGGTATACGTCATAAAGAATATGGGAATTGATAAAAACAGGTAAGTTATTTAGAAAACTTTACGTACTAGATTTTATTTAAGCTGACACCATACCAACTAGCTGGTTACGGGCGCTTTTGACTTGGCCATTCTTGAGTATACTGCAGATCTGGTCAGTGTACTGATAAGTGTGAAAGCAAAATGTATGCCAGGGTCTCTGGTAAATGGTGTTCTATCCTCTCTGTTTACCCTGGTCGTGAATTAAGCTTTAGCATATATTTGTGTGTATATTTTTTGATAAAAAACACGTCAGCAGTGTAGGAAAAAAATAAGGTTTTTAATGATAATTTTAGACGAGGAAAATTTCTCAGTTAAATCACCTGAAACTGATTTAAATGTGTGCAGTTGTTGTTGGTTTATTTGAGGTATTAATATTGATGGCTGGTGGTGATAAGGAAATCCTATTTTCAAATGTTCTAATGATAATTACCAAAACTTATTGAAAGTAACTATATTTATTATTATTTTTATTTATAACATACTATACATTATTACCGTCTGGCCAGCGTGGTATAGTAGGCCAAAACCTCCTTTCTAAGGAGAGGCCTATGTCCAGCAGTGGACTAGTATAGGCTGTTGATGATGATGATGATGATACATTATTATCACAGTTAGCTCCATATAATAATGCAAGACTTACAATAAAAAACAAACAAATCTATGATAAAATACGTAAAATCTATTTCCATTCATTACTAAAATTGCAATTTTGTAATACTGAGGAAGTGTAAAACCTACTAAAGACCTATACCGAACAAAGGTTGTGGGCTCAGGAACACTTATACTTATTTTATGACTCTGGATTTGGATAGACATTCGAACAATGACATAGTGCATACTGGCTTTACTTAGTTTGGGATCAGAAGACCGTATGTGAGATATCTCAAGTTACTTTTAATGTTCACCTTATTACTATCAGTAAACATAAAAAAATATTTTTAAATACATCATCGTTTAGTAGTCCACTGCTGGACATAGGCCTCTCCTTAGAAAGGAGGATTTGGCCTACTACGCTGACCAGACGGGTTGGTATAGGGTTTAATTTCTGTTTTACTTCTCTGTGCAGTGCTGTTGTCCTGCGTAGTTGTCTCCCTTATTTGGCTCTACGTCACCCACCACCACCACACGGACAATTTAAATACATATAAATTCATACAAAAATACTTAATTTATTTTACTCAATAAAAACAAAGAACAGAGTCTCACTGGTGACTGGTACTCAAACCAAGCTATGTTAAAGTTTCAGAGACAGAAACCTCACATGTATCTTTTGCACTTGACCCACCTGAGCCCCTGAAGGTGTCGGGACTCAGTATAATTACTATTATACCTAGATACAAATCTTTGTAACTCGAATCCAACTCGCTCCCTCTGGCTAAACGTTGAAAATGAATTTATTCAAAGGCTAGAAGGCTACAACCTCCCGAAAATAGCTAGTTCGAGATGCAGATATTTATTTATTTATTTATTTGGACAACCAACAAGAACATACACCATAAAAGTAAGAGATACAATGACAGTGATATACAACCATTAGTGCTGCCTTAATTACAGATATGCAATCCTGACAGCTTAAAGTAATCAAGTCCTCATGATTAATATTCCCTTTCCCTCTTAACAGCTTTTCCTTGTCTATTAAAATCTCAATTCCCTATCTGTTTTCTAAAACGCCCAGTTGACGTTAGTGGAGCTAAAATTATGGTTTGCATAATATGGCCTATACCTTTTTTTTTACCACATTCACACAAACTCTAACGTTTTAAAAAACTAATTCTACCTGGGTCATATTATTTCTTATAATATAAATATTTAGAACTTATAAATTACACGTATTTATTTAATTATATGTATCTAATAACACCACCAGCCGTGTTCAGCACATAATAATATATATTATCTCTAGCATGTTATATATTCACATTAGTCCAACAAATAGATACATAATAGCTATGTATATACTACTCTGATTTAATCTTCTTTTCTATTTCCTAATACACCAGCCAACACCTCCTCCCCTTCATGTTTTCTCTCCATACCACGGTTGCCTGTAAGAGATTGCCTCTGAGCGATAAGGCCGCCATTTGTACTAAGCTAGTTTAAAACAATAATTTAAATATATAATAATAATAATAATAATAATAATATTCTACCACATTTACACAACGCCATCTAGTCCTAAACTAAGCAGAGCTTGTAATATGGCTACTAGACAACTAGAAATACAGTATATATATTTTGTAAATACATACATATTATACATAGAAACACCCAGATCAAATCAAACATTAAATGTTTATGCACACAAAAGTTTGTCTTGAGCGGGCATCGGACCCGTGACCTTTGGAACAGCAGTCCGTTACACAAACCACTACGCCATCCGGTCGTCTACTTTCGGGGCTAGAGACAGGGGTGTTTGTAGGTACATGTGTATGTATTTAGTATGTTTAGATAACGTTATTAATTATTTCAGCCATGGCAAAAAGTCTGATAAAGAAACACAGTCTCCGCTGCTGAAGATTTTTAAAGAAATTATGATGAGAGAGGATAAGTAAGAGTAATTCTATACCTTTAATTTACTAACCCTTGGCATCAGCTGGGTCAAAGAATCTTTGTTCTTAGGTCTTCTACATAAAAGACCATAATAATTTTATCTCTAAAGGGGCACGACGAGCAGACAGGTTAACTGATGGAATGTGATCATCGTCGCCCATGAACGTCTGCAACTCAGGAGTCACAAACGCGTTGCCGGCCTTTTAGGAAGGAGTACGCTCTTTTCTTGAAGGTTTGAAGGTGGTATCGGTCCGGAAATACCGCTAACGATAACCCGTTCCACAGATTGGTTGTGCGGGGCAAAAAGTACTAGCACAGTAGTGGAGCGCCAACTATCCAGGTGATGAGGATGAAAATTATTACTAATAACAAAAGATTATAACGTCTGTTAATACTAATAGAACGTTATAATCTTTTGCCATGGAAGGGACATGATTCGGTTCCAACTTTGGCAAGTAGGGGGAGGGAGGGGTACTGCTCATTTACCTCCTACACTATAAAAAAAGGTTATAAAGAACCACTTTACTAAGACTGAACATTACTTAGGTTGTGGAGTGTGTAAATATGGCACAGGTACCACTTGGCTCAATGCTTGCCAGAAGGCGATTACTGTACCGGAATACTCGCGGCTTTGTTTAGAAAGCACTGCGTCAGCACTATGCTGCTCATCACTTCATCATCATCATTATCAAGTCAGACATGTGACAGTAACTGTAACTCTTTCTTCTCTAGTGATCCAGAAAAGAGAAACCTTCTTCTAGATCAGGAAAAGAAACGGAAGCAGTACTCAGGGCCCAAGACGAAAGTCAATCGTGTGAGTTATGTTAGTCTGATATTTATCTGAGTTATATTAAAGACCATAATTCCATAACTTATTGTGGCGCATACAACCATGTCAAATTCGCATGTGACTTTTAGTGCGGCTTGCAGCTTTGATCTTGGAAGCTAAACTGATATATGTTTTGGAGTTTAGAGGCAATGCATAGATTAAATTAATACCTTGACCAACGATGTAATATCTAAATACGTGAAAACGAAAGAGAATAAACACAAATAGAGACAAAACGATCAGCCTGAACAGTCATTTCTGCTCATCAGAATATTAGGATTTCCTGAACAGGTAGTAATTATAGACTTAATACTCCGAGCTTTTTTCCAAACTGGTTCGGATTGGCTTTCAGTCAGCTACGATACGGCTGAACTTAGAGATTTTGCGTGGGGCGACTGACATCAGATTTCCATAGCCCGAGTACTAGGCGATATCGAAGTTCTGTAGATTAATTGTTGTTGGAGTTTTTAGGGTTCCAACTACCCGTAACGATTGAACAGATGTTCGTATGGAAACCAGGACCGACCGGGAGGGGTCTCAATGTGTTAAAGAATGGTCACCCATCCATAGACTGATCTGGCCTTAATTGCTCGACTGCAAGGTGCTAACCTACTTGATTACCACTTAGCTCCAAGCTATATGTAAAGAAAGGAAAGGAAAATATTATTTTACTATTTTGCAGAGATCTTGCGAGTCCAGCAGTTCAGAACACAGAAAGAGAAGTCCATATAAAACTTTAGTCGCTGAACAGAGACTAACTGAAATACCACGGGAATCGCAACATGTGAGTAACTTTTTTGCTGCTGTGACTTCTGTACACCAGGATCTACACAGGATAGAATGCTTCAAAGGTACATGAGGACAAACGGGTAGACGGGTCACCTGATGTAAAGTGGTTACGGCCGACTGCACGGATGGCGTTAGTGGTTTAAGCGGTCGCTTCCTACTGCGCTGAGTGTTGTGGGTTCGATCCCCGCATGGGACAACACTTTGTGTGATCCACAAATTGCTGTTTCGAGTCTGGGTGTTCTTTGTGTCTGTTACATGTATGTTAGTGAAGTCTCCCACGACATAGGATATAAGTATTCCGTGTGGTGACGGATTAAGAATTATCCGTGTGGCGACGGATTAAGAATACGGAGTGTCACCACCCCTATTCTTCCGTGGGTGTCGTAAGAGCCGACTAAGGGATCAAACTACGCAGGACAACAGCACTGGTAAGAGAAGGAAAACTTGTCAGAAACCCTATACCAACCTGTCCGGTCAGCTTGGTATAGTAGGCCAAAACCTCCTTTATTAGTAGAGGTATATGGCATATGGCGGGAGTTTTCTTGGCCATCATTTGAAAAACAGGTGCCTTATCACTTTTTGAGTGCCTTCGCTTCCCCAAGGTTTGGGTTGGTTCTTTTTTTATGGTAAATAGGCAAACGAGCAACTAACACATGGACACTTGCATCTGAAGTGCCACAAGTACTTTGCCGGATTTTGAGCCTCCAGAATCCAGGTATCTTACTTTTTGTTTTCCTTTGAACACTTACATAAATATCAAATGTTTAGTTCCAGGATAGTTAGATTCCAAGATCACAAACCTTCTCTAGTTTGGGTTATAAAAAACGACGAAATAAAAAACCACAAAAGAATCAATTAACACTGGTCTTCTTAGGCCAGCCGTGGTTATTACTCATTTCGAACCGGCCTATGTCTGTAGCTTGGCTCTCCCACTATGTCTTTAAACATAGATATTATTTGAGAAACTATTTTATTTGCAGGCTTTTCGCAGCGAACAGAGAGGTCACTGGTGGAAAAGGGTGAGTTTAAAATATAAATTTGTGCCTAAACTTACATCAGAATCATGTATGAGCCAGTTGGTTCAGTGATTAGTTATCCTGGCTGCTGGGGCAGAGGTCGGCAGTTCCCACGTGGTCGGATGTGACCACGATCTTCTGCGGCAAAATGCCAGGCAAAATCTAATTCGATAACTGCATTTTGCCCAATAACTTTCGTCCCAATTACGTTATGAATAAGTCCAATGCCACTTGGATTTCCAGGTTCAGGTATTTGGAGAAAGAAAGAGAAATGAAGATGGGAATATATTCAAAGAGACGTAATAGACATTGTTTGTACGCATAGATTGACGAATGTGAGTTAGAAGTGATCAGGTTCTCACACTTGTAACTTGAAGTTACTATTTTCAGGGATTTTGAGTAGTTACAATCCTTACTCATAATAACGAAAGTAACTGTCTGCCTGTTACGCTTTCATGGCTAAACTGCTAAACCGAGTTTGATGAATTTCAGTAATTCTATTATAAATAAGGTCATTATAATGTGTTTTTTTCAGGACTCCAATGTCTGTTGTCAAAAAGTAAGTAAAATTAAATATTTAAAATCAAAATTTCATAAAAATCGTTTGGAATTTCACGGGAGTAACACTTCTACATTAACCTTCATTCATTTGGTATTCATGGGGGGAGGGGGGGGGGGTTATTCCCACGGTAGCCTCACTCACTCGGTGAAAAGTAATGTAAGAACTACTTAACACCGGTTTTCTGCGAGGCCGTGGGCTCTCTCAGGTTAATTGCATATAAAATAGAATAGAAAAATCTTTTTTGTACACCAAGTCAGGATATTATACATACAATGGTATTCCAAGCAGCAGAAATAGAGCAGACAGGCCCATTTTTATAGTAGTTTTGGCAAGTGTCTACCTAGGCACCTGCTAGTCTAGAAATACTAATGCGTTGTCCTTCTTTGAGTGCCCAGAAGTAATAATAATAATATTTTCGGACATTTGACACAACGCCATCTAGTTTCGAACTAAGCAGAGCTTTTTAAATGGGACTAATCCCTCCCACATCTCCGCCACTATAACTCCTGTACACCAGGATCAACAGCAGTGACCCACGAACACAACGAGTTATGACACTCGGGAAGTCCCAGGAAAAACTGAAGCGGTCTTGGAACCCGCAACGAAATTAGTCAGAAGAAAATTGGAAGAGCTTGTTATATAAAAGCTAGATTGACTGATAGAATACTTATATACTTTTTTTGTAAATTCATAGAGACATAGTATACATTACATTGTCCGTGTGGTGACGGATTAAGAATACAAATTGTCACCACCCCAATTCATCCCGTGGGTGTCGTAAGAGCCGACTAAGGGCGCAAACTAAGCAGGACAACAGCACTGCAAAGAGAAGGAAAACTTGAAACAAACCCTATACCAACCCGTCTGGCCAGCGTGGTATAGTAGTGGCCTACTATAAACCTCCTTTCTAAGGAGAGGCCTATGTCCAGCAGTGGACTAGTATAGGCTGTTGATATGATGTGTGTGATAGTATACATAGAAAACACCGAACTCCGAAACAAATGATTGTAGATTATACAAACGTTTGATCCGACACGGGAATCGAACACGAGACGTGGAGGGAGATTGAGCTTTCATTAACGTCACTCGTATTCAGCGAGGATGAAGGAGAGATTGATGTACCTCCATTTTTCTGTGAAACTCTCCCGATAAACCAGTTATAAAGAAAGATATATATGACGTCACAGACTTATTTTATACAATAATTGTTTCTAAAACCGTGTAACTGGCCTCGAGGTCGAGAGGTCGTGGGTTCGATTTCCACCCCGGACAAATATTATGTGATGAGCGCGGTCATTTGTTCTGTGTCTGGGTGTAATTTATCTATTATATGTATGTACTAGCTGAGACCCGCGGTGTTACCCGTTTGTTGTTATAACCGCGGGCAACGCCGCGGGGCGAAGCTAGTCTTAAAAAAAGTAGCCTAAGTTACTCCTTATGTCACCAGCTATCTGCCAATGAAAGTCCCGTCGAAATGGGTCCAGCCGTTCCAGAGATTACCCGGAACAAACAGACAGACAGACAAAAATTGAAAAAAATGTTATTTTGGCATATGTACCGTGTAAACATACATATGCATTTAGTAAAAAGCGGTTATTTTAATATTACAAACAGACACTCCAATTTTATTAATTTTTAGATTTAGAAATATACAAGTATGTTTATCAGCAATATGGTTACCATAGTACAGGCTCTGCCTAGTTTGAGATCAGATGGACCTGTGTGAGTTATTGAGGTTATTACTATTTTTTATTCTTGCAGGATCCTTGTCAGGTGGAGGACCCAGGGTGTAAACCAGAACCGATAAAGAATGAAGATGATACTTGTTCTTGTGTGTCATGCGCGTGAGTTTATTAGTTTGAAATTTTATTAACAACTTTTTTATGGTATACAGGGCTAACGGGTAGACGGGTCACTTGATAGTAAGTGACTACCATCGCCCATGGAGACCTGAGAATTAGGAGAAGGTGGAAATTGGGCCTCTGGTAACCTAAACTTACACGGAAGAATTTTTAACATCAGTTCTCTATGAAGCCACAGGCTCACTCCGCTTTGGCTAGCCCATATGTCCCGAAAACCCCAGGGGGATGATTGTGTGATGGGGTTTCCACACCCCAAAAATAAGAGGCTTACACTTGTTATATTCTATTCTCTTTAAAAAGACAACTCTATCACTAGGAATACATCTTGAGTCACGGAGAACTTTATAAACATACATGAAACAGGCACCAAGAACACTAAGACGCAGAACCAACCAAATTTGTGGATCACACAGTGTCGTCCAGGGGGTCGCACCCACAACACTCAGCGTAGTAGAAAGCGGCGAGGCAACCGATTGACATAAACCACTACGCCATTTGTGCAGTCAAGTCCCCTTTTTTTTATTTTTTTTCCGTGCGGAAATCCCCTCGGATACCACCTGTCGGTGGCATGTCGGAGTCGAACCAACTAAAACCGCACGCCGTCTCGGGTACTAATAGCCGGGGAACCAGGTATACCCGAGAAAGGAAGTCCCTGGTGCCCCGACATACCTCGGGTCATCTACAGACGAGTAGACGACCCCCCCCGTAACAGTGAAGTCCCCTGTCGAAGCATAGCTCTCCAACAGTAGAAAATTAATTCCGTTCGTTATAATTATTTCAGATTAAGACGTATCGTGGGTTCTGAATACGCTTGCATCGCGTGCCTGCTTATCCTCTTCTCCATTTCCATCGTGGCAGCCTTCTGCCTCGTGTACAAGAATGTTCCAACTGCTACAGCCACCACTCACAAGAAGTTTATTCACACCACGGTGTCTTCCGCGGAGAAGAAGTTGGACATTGGTGATAGCGAGAGATTGAAGCGGAAAATTGACATGATAAATGACAACTTGATGAAGAATGAACTCAGAGAAGAAGAAGCATTTGGCAAGTGAGTTTCTTAATTGATCTTCTTCCGAGCCTTGTTGCGAATCTAGGTTGGGGTCGGCTTTAAGACTACTACGACACGGCTGAACTTTGATTTTTTAGGTGGAGCGACTGCGATCAGACCTCACCAACCCAAGTACTAAGAGATATCGATGTTCTTTAGAAAGACTGCTGTCGGACTTTTTAGGGTTCCCGTAACGATAGCCACAGATGTTCGTATGGCAACCGTGCTCACCGAGTGTGTTAAGAATGGTCACCCATCCATAGACTGACCAAGCTAAGATTGCTTAACTTTTCAATATGTTAACTTGTTTGATATTGATTAGTTATTATAAATGGGATATTTACCATGCTTATTTTCATGAATTAGTTTTCGATATTTCGGTACTGTTGCAAGCCCAATGATCACAGATGAACTGAGTAACTTCTGGTGCGAAGTTGTTTTTCTTAAAAGCAGATATCTCTGACTACCCTCTTTCTAGTTCGATTACTGCTTGAGTGACCATTAGTTTCACCACTACCACTGTTATCACAGCTGTCTGTTGACACACAAAACTCCCGGAATAATCACACATCCATAGACTGAACCTTCTAGGATATGCTTAACTTCGTAATGTGTTAACCTACTAGATTACCACTTAGAAACATGTTCCTCTTCCACCCCGTCGCCAAAAAAAAGAAAAGAAAATTAAAACGGTACGCTATCCTGACTTCCACGGTCTATTGCTTTGAATCAATTTTTTTTTAAGTCTTATGCACATGTTGTACAAAGGCGGACTTAACGCCGCGGGACATTCTTTACCAGTCAACCTTCAGGTGATGTAAAAATATGATACGGTAAGCGCAAAAATCAATTATTGAATTCAACATAATGGAAGTCCAGAGATATACACAATATATAAATACACATACATAATTAAAACGCGTTTGAAAGCGTTTGATCACGTGGATCATAACATATTAATTAAAAAAATGTATAATTACGGGATTAGAGGCAATGTCCTTGTCTTGATACAATCATTTTTAGAAGATAGAAATCAAATAACACAGATAAATTCAGTCAATTTCAAATCTAAAACTGAGGTAGCTTATTCATCAAATGCTAGAAAAATTAAATACGGCGTGCCACAGGGAAGTGTTTTGGGCCCATTACTTTTTCTCTGTTACATAAATGATTTTCCTAACACTACGAAACATCAAATGTCTTTATTTGCCGATGATAGTACAGTTATTTTTAATAAGGGTACATTAAATGAAATAGAATACCATATAAATACTAGTATTGTAGACATTATAAATTTCTTAAATGCTAATAACCTAAAAATCAATCTGTCGAAAACAAAATTTATGAATTTTCAAATAAGACGAAAATAGACATCAGAAGTACACATCTCATATAAAGATGAAATCGTAGAAGAAAGTACAGTAACAAAATTTTTAGGGCTTCAAATTGATAATGACATGTCATGGAAAACTCAAATTAATTGTGTGTGTAATAAATTAAATACATTTTCCTATGCTTTATATATGCTATCAAAAGTAGCTAATGAAAATGCACTTCTTGCCGCTTATCACGGCTATGTGTCATCGACCTTAAGGTTCGGCATAATATTCTGGGGTAATGCCACAAATAAGCAAGACGTGTTTATAGCTCAAAAGAAATGTCTCCGAGCTATGTGTAAACTAAAAAGCACTGATACATGTAAGCCACACTTTTGTAAACTAAGACTATTGACATTTCCATCTATGTACATTTATGAAGTCTGCATGTTCGTGAGAAATAACATTTCTCTATTTTCTTTTATAGAAAGTCAACGTCGCTCCGACAAATTGCACTTATTAAGAGCCAAAACAGCACTTCTACATAAAAGTGTATACGCAATGGCACCAAAGCTGTACAATCATTTACCAAAACAAATAAGAGACCGTAAAAATGTTAATGAATTTAAAAGCAATCTCTTAAAATTACTTATTGACAAAGCATACTACTCCATAATAGATTTCCTGAATGATACATTTTGATTTCAATTAGTTATGTATATGATTAGGTATTTGTAAATGACATTTATTTTGACGTTGTAATTATTAATTGTTTTAAAAAATTTAACTTATTTTGACATTTTATTTAGTATTTTGAACTTTTAATTATTTTGACATTTTCGATTATTCATTATTTTGACATATTTAGTTCGACTTTTTTGATTGTTAATTATTTGACATATTGAGTTTGTCATTTTTAATTATTTTAACATTTTTCCCGATTTAATCATCATTTATCAATATCAGTATGTTTTTAATTAAGAAATCAAATCAACGTCTATTTTTATTGAATTGAATAAGTATATGATTACTGGACTTTAAACAGTTGTATTGCACAGGAATAATGAAATCCTTTTATTGTTTTGTATGCCTATTGGCGAAACATGGCGATCTTTTTAAATATGGTTTGTAACATCATGAATTTACCTGTGTTTTACGAAATAAATGATTGATTGATTGAATTAAACATACATACATAAACGTACATAGTTTTAATATAATATAAAAATCCTCATCCGGGTACTTGTGACTTAAGTAAGTGGGCATTCCGCGTGGTGACGCAGTAAGAATACAGAGTGTCACCACTATTCATCCGGTGGGTGAAGTATGAGTCGACTAAGGGAGCAAACTATGCAGGATAACAGCACTGCAAAGTGAAGGCAAACTTTAACCAGACCCTATACCAACCGGTCTGGCCCAAACCTCCTTTCTAAGGAGAGGCCTATGTCCAGCAGTGGACTGTTTAAAGCTGTTGATGTGACGTGGTGTGAATGATAATTGAATTTGAATTGATAAAGACAGTAGAAAATGATTCTAAACTGTTTTGTAATCTTAATATATACATAATTCTTCTATGCACATATGTGACTAAACTTGTCTAAAACGTCTGGAACGATATTGATGAAATTTTTTGTGTCTATTCAAGTGGATTCGAGTATGGTTTAGATCCACAATTCGATCCACTACAAAATGTTTTTAGTTACTTTTTTATTAACCGCCCAGGTCCACCCAGGTCAAATAATTGTGTTATGAACACGGTCATTTGTTCTGTGTCTGGGTGTAATTTATCTATAATATGTATGTATTTAGAAATATATAAGTATGTATCAGCGGTCTGGTTACCATAGCACAGGCTCTGCCTACTTTAGGATCAGACGGCTGTGTGTGAAATGTGTGAAGTTATTTTTATTATATTTATACGTGTGTACAGGACAACGTCTGGTGCGTCCGTTAGTTTACATATAATTTAATAAATTATTTCTTTTTTTCTTTTTCAGATCCCATTACAATGACATAAGTGCAGATCCAATGGATTCGCCCGGATCACCTGAAAATGGTATTTATTTATTTATTTAGGACAACTTACAAAACATACACTAATACATAGTTTACAAACATGTTTTACAAATAGGTGCTGAGTGTTGTCTTACTTACAAGTTGCCACGGCATGGATTGTGGTTGGTTTCTCTAGATATATTCTACTTACCATCTGTGTGGTGACGGATTAAGAATACAGAGTGTCACCAGCCCTATCCATACCGTGGGTGTCGTAAGAGCCGACTAAAGGAGTAAACTCCGCACGCACAGCACTGCAAAAAGAAGGAAAACTAGACACAAACCCTATACCAACCCGTCTGGCCAGCGTGGTATAGTAAGCTAAAACCTCCTTTCTAAGCAGAGGCCTATGTCCAGCAGTGGACTAGTCAAGGCTGTTTATGATGATTCTGCTTACAATTTCTTAAAGAAACGTTGCTAAATTTTACATTTATTCCCAGAGTATTCCCTTCTAGCACTGTCCCAAGGGTTGACAACTGGGATTTTTCTTCCATCTTGAATATTGTTACATGTTAGGGGTCGTGGGTATGTTTGGAATAATAAACTTTTTGATGACTAAAGATACTTTATTATTAAGATATTTAAAAACGTTCAACAACACTGAAGAATAGTCCGGAATGATCGCCGAGGTCGCTGGGTTACACTTCTGTTCTCTTTGATAGCTTCGATGTTTATCGCACTGTAGCTCGAACTGAACTGTCCTTGACGAAGACGTGCCTGTGTTTATAATAATATAATATATAATACTCGCCAGACTTCTAGAAAACTTGCAGCTTATTCTAATCCTAATCCAAATAGACAAGGTAATCGCGTGACAATCTATTATCGATTTTATGCGTATTGATTTAAATCTCATTGTTCCATGCTACTCTGCATTATTATTAGAACTATTCTTAGAATTCAATTTCGTGGTTTTATCAATTCTCTTCTTTTTTAAATTTTCGTAATAATCTACTAATTTATAAAATTCTCGTGTCACGGTGTGCGTGGTTGAGCTCCTCCGAAACGGCTCTACCGATTTTCGTGAAATTTTGTGTGGATATCGGGTAGGTCTGAGAATCGGCCAATATATATTTTTCATAACCCTAATTTATTTATTTTTTTGACAAAAATTTTTAAATAATGTCTATGGCAAAACAGTATGTCAGCTAGTATAATAATAATAATATATCTCACACATCTTACACACAGTCGTCTGATCCCAAACTAGGCAGAGCCTTTACAATCGTAAGCAGACCGCTGATAAACATACTTATACATTTTTAAATAGATACATTAATAGGTAAATTACGTCCAGACACAGAACAAATGACCGTGCTCATCACAATATTTGTCCTGTGTGGGAATCGAACCCACGACCTCCGGCTTAGCACTCAGGGCCACTAACCACTAGACCAACAGGCCCGTCAATATTTAAAGAGTCTTAAATTTGACCTGCAATTATGTATTAAATGCTCAAACAAACATTTTCTTTTGTTTACAGAATTTGTACCCAGTTTCAGTGACTTGGTAAGTGAATGTTTTTTTTTATCAGTACGATAAAAGTGGTACTTTAACACAAAAAATAGTAACATAAGTCACATTTAAGTACATGTTTTAGTAGAAAAAATGCAAAAAATATATTTACGGATTAGCAAAAAGACGAAGCGATCTAAACGTTTAGATGGTACAATATTATAAATATTACATTAATAAATCAAAAGCTACAAAGTCAATTAATTAAAAACCCGTTTTAAAATCGACTTCACCACAATTTTGCATTCGGTTTTTGTCTTCCACACAAATTACTCTATATTTTTCTCTTTATGCTTTCTCTATAGCATTTCTCAAAAACACAGCAATGAATTTTCCCACTGATTGTTAAAAATTATACCCCTAACTTCGACCAGAGGTTATAAATACGCGTTATTTATGTACTCTCAATACTTACGGGAGTTTTGTATTGAGACAAATAGGCGTTCGTATACCCTGAAGTGTGTCACCCATTTTGGAGAATGTCTCCAAACTATTACGTGGAGAAAACTCTCTTTACCTTTTTACCTAAACAAATATGGCCGCACGGAAGCATTTCATATTTGGAGTATTTAATGTTTATATGCGCAAAGCTACAATATTTAAACAGTAAATTATTATAATTTTACACATCTCACACACGGCCGTCTGATCCCAAACTAGGTAGAGCCTGTACTATGGTAACCAGACTGCTGTAAAACATACTTATATATAACTAAATACATACATATTGTAAATAAATGACACCCAGATACGGAACAAATAATCTTGCTCATAACAGACTAATTTATTCTTGGTGGGAATCGAATCCACGTCCTCTGACTCTGCAGTCAGGTGCACTAGACTAACAAGCAGGCCTTATATAGCCACGCAAACTATATATATTTATATATATATATATATATATAAATATATATAGGAGCTGAACCACACAGCTTAGTCTGCTTTTCTCAAAAACGTTATCTTTGTTTGTCTTCGTCTGTTATCTTTAAAGTAACTTCTGGAAACCCTTCTGGAAAGTCGTGATTTTATAAAAAACAATTGATGTCTATAAATGCATAAGTGTTGTGTTAGAACTTTATTACGAACGACACCCCAGTGGTGTGTTCAGTGGTATCGTTTACAATACACGATAATTACAATGAAATTTATTAAGCTCTGTACAAAATTGACCTACATATTCTGATAGCTGCACCCTCGACGTACAAACTATAACATCCCTTAGTTGAGGGTTGAGACAAGATATTTATAGTAAGGGTGAATACAATTGGCCACTGTAACTAATGTTTGAGTACTACACAATGACTTTATGAGAATACAGAACACTGTTTAACAATGCTTATGCTTGCTTGCAAATTCTTTACTTTAAATTGGCTATTTATAAGTTGTTTTTTTAGGCTTTTATGTAGATTTTAATTCAATAAATTCAACGCGGGCAGTGAACAGTATTTTTTTCTGAATAAAAGGGAACCTATGTCCGTTTTGTACCTATGACAGCGTAATTACAAAGGCGTATTAAACGTTGAGATTTTGCCGACTACAATTTTGATTCAATCAATTCAACTGCCCGCGTGAACAATTTTTTTTTTTAATAAAAGGTAACCTATGGCGTTTTTGTACTTACGATAGCATGATTACAATTTAAGCTCCATTTACTTAATATAGAAAACTATACTCTTGTAAAAAGGGGTTCGTGGCTAAGTGGTAACCGAGTCGTTTAACACGTCGCAAAATTAAGTAATCCTAGCCAGGTCAGTCTACGGATGGGTGACCATTATTAACACATTGAGACCCCTCCATGCCTTAAAGAGCACGTTAAGGCACCAGGCAATAGCTACGGGTAGATGGAACCCTAAAAAGTAGGACAACAGTCTTTCTACAGAACTTCGATATCGCCTAGTACTTGGGTTGCAGAGGTCTGATGGTAGACCTCCACAGACCTCCACTCCAGAAATCTAAGTTCAGCCGTATCGTAGTAGACTTAAAACCGACCCCAACCTAGTTTGGGAGAAAGGCTCGGAGGAAGAGACTCTTATAAAAAACAAAGAAATTGTTGGTTAGCCATAGAGTCTATTCTACTTCCAAGAGCTCGACTCAAACGGAAGGGACTCCAAGGGCAGCAACACACTTCTGCCCTTGCAGTTGCAGGTATCCATGGGCGGCGGTAGTTGCTTACCATCAGGTGACCCGTCTGCTCGTTTGCCCCCTTATACCATAAAAAAAAGACCGGTATACAATCTCAGGCTAACATGAGAATATATATTCAGATACGTGTTGCGTAATTCCACAGCGGATGAGAGTTCCGTACAACACATTTGCGCCAAGCCACCACAAGCTCACTATCCCCAGTCACCCCTTTGTTTTTTCATCCACATCATTGTCGTCTGTATTACATCCCCCCATTGTCCCATGATGTATTAGTTCGGTGCTGAAGCCTTTAAAATATTACCTAGGTTCCGTCTGTGTCTAAAGCTACATTTAGACGCGACGGTAATAACTAAAGTTGTGTGTGCAATCCATTTTATGTCAAGATTTTTCTTTAGAAAAAAAGATCACAGAAAAATAAATATGGTGATTCCTTGACAGGAAATCCATGGGAGAGCCATGCTTCGGCACGAATGGGCTGGCTCGACTGGAGTGATACCACGGCCTCACAGAAAACCGGTGTTAAGCAATTCTTTCGTTGCCTTTCACTGAGTGAGTGAGGTTACCGGAGCCCAAATCCCCCAGTTGCAGGTGTCCATGGGCGGCGGTAGTTGCTTACCATCAGGTGACCAGTCTGCTCGTTTGCCCCCTTATACCATAAAAAAACCTGTAGTGCCTGCCTGTGTGCTAATGGCCAATTAGCGGCTCGATCTTGGTGATACCAAGCCCTCACAGAAGACAGCTGTTAAGTAATTCTTCTTTACCGGTTACCGGAGCAGTACCTACTCACTGTATCGCAGAACTAGAATGTTTTCATACGATTCATATGTGTTGAACTGTCTCGGGTATTTATATAACACAATATTGAATACAAAATACAAAAAAAAACAGCATAAATACCAAACATGGTATATATGCTGTAATTGTCTGAGGAGTTGGCTATCCCGCAGACTACTTGATGCAAGTTCCAGGTTTCAGGTGAAAATACCACCAAAGTAACAGTATACATAATTTCAGATCAATCAGACCTGTAGATTTTAGTGCTGATGATCTTAAAAATTTATAGCTAGGAACCATCTCGATCACATCAGCTTTCGAACAAAAAACCGCATCGAAATTGGTCCATCCGTTCGAGAGAAATTATGCCATAGACAGACAGATACACAGGTTAAACTGTTAAAAACCCCCCGTTTTCCGTCGGGGGTTAAAACGAGTTTTTCATATAGAAAACCTAGAAGATTCATTACTTACCTATAAGAACCTTTTAATAACTAAAGTACGAGTACTACACTCCCCTTTTTCAACTTTTATAATTTCGTGGAACATTCTAAAAGTCTGTTGATCGTTACGCTGTAAGCTGTGAAGTAATTAGAGCCCAAATCCCTCCCCTTTACCCCTTCCCCTTTCTGTGTGGGTGCCTCAAACAGGGATAATCTTTTTTTTGTTTCATTTTAAGACAACTTCCGCACTAGGAATAAATCCTGTGTCGCGGGGGACTTTACAAACATACATGAAACGGACACAAAGAGCACCCAGACTCAGAACAACAATTTGTAGTTCACACAAAGTGTTGTCCCATGTGGGGATTGAACCCACAACACTGCGCAGTAGGAAGCGGCGAGATGACCGCCTAAACCACTACGCCATCCGTGCAGTCAAAAATATACCAGTGTCTCTTTGAGTTGCAAGTGTCCATATGGGAGGCGGTCGTCACTTGCTATCTGATGAACTGTCTTCTTGTATGCCCTCAATCTATATTTATAAAAGAAGAAACTGAGAGACTGATTCACTGACTGATAGATTAACGCACAGAAACCGCTGGGTCTAGAAGCATGAAATTTTGCACAAATGTTCCTTAGGTGACGTAGGTGTGCATTAACAAAGAATTTTTAAAAATTCCACCCCTAAGGGTGCAAAATGGGGGTTGGAAATTTACAGAAAACTTTGTTATTTTTGTGTAGTAGCGTTTCTCTAACCAGTGGGTCTACAAACTTGAAATTTTGGCAGCTGATATTTTTAATATTGTAAGCACCTATAAAGAAATGTTTTTTTGGAAATTTCACCCCTAAAAATAAGGGATGATTGGTTGTATGAAAGTTCGTCATTTTTACACGCTTTTAATTAGCTTCACCTGTATGTTTGTTTGTAACCGACTCCTTTGGGCGTGATTTTGACTGGCTTTAAACGGTCAGAATTCGTTCAAACTTTGTCGATATATCGAGGACCGATGACAATAAAACAAAAAATAAAAAAAATATATAGCGTTGGGTGCCTGTTGTCAATATTAAAAAGCACCGCACCACAAGCATCAAATTTATTAAAATTTATTTTCTATTTCTTAGTTTGGTTTTCTATAAAAAGCGTGTTTTTTAGTTTTTTTAAGATAGAAATACGTAATAATCACGCGAGTGAAGGCGTGGCCAATACCTTGTACCATATAGAAAGACAGATAATTTTTCCAGTGTACACGAGCCCTAAGGGCTGACTGTCTGTTTGTCTGTGTAAGTGTAGCTGGACACTCTTTGTTGCGGTGAGAACAAAGCAAGGGCCCTTTTGTGTTATTTGAAGAGTTTTGAATGAAGCCCTGATTGGAGTAACTTTTTCGTTTTTCTTTTCATGGAGATATCTGTGACGTCACTATCTAATGGCTAGTGGAAATAGACGTTTGCAAAGACAAGGAAAACTTGAAAAAAACCCTATACCAACCCGTCTGGCCAGCGTGGTATAGTAGGCCAAAACCTCCTTTCTAAGGAGAGGCCTATGTCCAGCAGTGGTCTATTAAAGGCTAGTGGAAATAAGTAATATGAATTTATGATGGTGTTGATTAATAGAAAAGATTTGCAGGAGTATCCATAGATTTTATTGTATTTTTGTTTTATATGCGA